TTCGTTCGTTCGTTCGTTCGTTCGTCCGTTCGTCCGTTCGTCCGTTCGTCCATTCTTTCGTTCGTTCGTTCGTTTGTTCGTTCGTATATTTTTATGAGTGAACCCCTCCCCTCGCATGTGCCCGTGTTTTCTTTTTTTATTTTTTACTTTTACGAAACAATGTTTGTTGTGTCTAAAAGACCTGTCGGATTTGATTTCTATTGTGTCTGAAAATGGAACGCTGTTATAAAAAAAATTTAATTCTACAATTGCCAAGACAAAACATCTTAATAGATACAAGATTATTAATAAATTAGAAAAAAACAAAACATTGTTTATCTAAAAGTTGACGTTCCCTTATCAAACCTTCAGTCAATCGACACCTTTATGGCCTGCTTAAAAATTGGTAATGATAGCGCATATTTCTGACTTACTTCGACCTGTTAATTTTGTAAAGAAAGAAAGAAAATTGAGAAAAAATTATTTTCTAGGTGAATGATTAAAACTGATCGTGTAGGGAACTCCTGTTGCAATATTGATAAAGTTTAAGGTTTTGACCTCAATCTATCAAGTCAAGCGATCAGAGTGCGAAAGGAAACGATCCAACGGTTTTACCTGTTGGTTCAATTGGTTATTGCAGGTGCAGTTATTGTTCCAGCCGACCAGCATTCAATCGCTCCAATTCAAACACAAATAAGCGCCACGTCTTTCTCAATGACCAAACATTAAATCATTTCTCCACATTCCTTCTGTGTTAGATCATCGAGTTGCAGTTTCGTAGACTGATCTGGCTGTGGATATTGTGACTCTTGAGGTTCTGTTGTTTACAAGAGAGGGAAAGAACAACGTTGTTTATTTTTACAAAAACGATGGGTGCCCTTGGGAGTTTGGGGCTGTTTATGACATTGTTTTTATTGTCAAATGCTGCGAGGATCAGAAGAAATCCCGATGGCTATACTGTCCATGAGAAACCACCCGAACTTGTTGTCAACGCTGACACTGAAGGAGTCAAAGTACAAGCCCGTCCTTCGAAACTACAAGTGATCGCCTATCCTCATTTACAAGGATTTCATCCGTTTGAGCACACTGCCGTTTTAGGACCTCATAGTCCTCCGGTAAATATTGGGCCAAATGCGCCCCCAGTTCATATTGGACCACATGTGCCTGCTGTTCATCTTAGTCCAAGGGTACCAAGTCTTCATTTTGGGACTAATGCCCCTCTCCTTCATGTTAGACCACATTCACCATTTGTTCACATGACTCCACCACTTCCCGCGGTCCACGCCTTAAATGGACCCCCAGTTCATGTTGTATCCCCTTCGACTGTGTATCACCAACCGCCTATTGTCTTTCATCAGCCACACTTTGCCTACCCTGGTTATGGTTACGGCGGAGGGTTCTATGGAAGGTCTGGTATCCCTGGTGGTCAATACCAAAGGTCTTACCACAGATCTAGGCGTGATCTGGGTTCACAAGCAGGACGATTTAAGAGACAATGGTATGGATGGCATCCTTTCCCACACTCCGTCAACGTTGGCCCTCACACGCCACCTATCCACGTTGGACCACACTACCCCCCTGTACACATTGGTCCCCATGTCCCAGCAGTTCATATTGGCCCTCATGTCCCTGTCATTAATGTACCTTCACATGTCCCAGCCATTCATGTCAGACCTCATGTCCCAGCTGTCCATTTAGGACCCCCTGTACCAATCATTAACGCCGGCAACCATTTCCCTGCAGTCCACGTGAGCTCACCACCAACTATCTACCATCGACCACCGATTGTCATTCACCAGCCTCATATTGTACATCCCTATGGCCAATGGAAAAGAGCAAGGATTCCTAAGAAATACAACAAGACCCTGCAGAAGAAGCAAGAGGAACCCGAACCTGAAGAAGAAGAAGAAGAAGATAAACCTCCAAAAGGTAGCAAAGACAATGATGAAACTTCACAGAAGAAACAAGAAAATCCAGAAGAACCAGAAGAACAAGAACAATCGGAAAATCAAGAAGAACCAAAAGAAGAACCAGAAGAAGATAAAACTCCCAAAAATGACAAAAAAAAGAAAGTCAGCCTCAGGGCAATAGTTGAGGGTGCAAAGAAAATCCAAAAACGACAAATGTTCTCGAATGCTAACTCTGGGCCCAATGGCGACTCTGTCATCTTCGTTCATCCAAATCAAAACCATGGCAACGGAGACTCCAATATTGGATTCAATGACATCGGGTTAGGAAACTCGAATCCACTTGAAGGGAACCATGCCAGTGATTTTGGTGACATGTCAAGCAAGGGTTTTGGAGGTGATAACTTCTCGCCTTCATTCAGTGACAACGGTGGAAATAATGGTGATAGCCTTGCCGGCATTGCAGGGGGAAGCCTTGGAGGGCCAGAGGTGGGTGGAACCCAGTCCTTCACGGATAATCCTGGAATGAACCTCGGTGGAATGGGAGGAGGGCAAAGCTCACTGTCGGACCTCGCTGGAACATCACTTGGAGGTGGAAGCATGGGAGGCGGAATGGGAGGTGGAATGAATGGAATGGCGGGATTAGGAGGATCAAGTCAAATGGGAGGTGGAATGGGAGGAGAATCGATGAGATCTGATATACCAAGATCTTATATATCATACCCAGAAAGAGAAGAATACCAAATAGATGACGGCCAGAACTATAAAACTACGAAAAGAGATGAAATCCCTGCTGGGTATATAGAATACTAATCTAATATGCACAGGTGAGTAGACCAACAATTACTGTGTTCTAAGAACGCTATGACTTTTAAATGGCTTTTGCTTATGACCAATAAAAAAACACTAGAGAGATACACTGTCCAATCAGAAAGCTTAAATATGGAAGCCATTATGAAGTAATCATCTAACATCAACATCATCATCATCATCTATTATTATCATCAATCATTATCATCGTCATCATCATCATCATCAATCATCAATCATTTCATCCATTGACCAATCTTATTTCTTCTTATACATATTTTCTTGTATCGACCCATCATATCCTTTCTTACACTAGCCAATCATTATCTTTCTTACATCAGGCAATCATTTCGTTCTTGATTTACCGATCATTTATTACATTGACTAATCATATTCCTTCTCATATTAACTAATCACATCATTTCGTTTATCAACCAATCATATACTTTCTTACATTAACCAATCATATTATTCTCTCTGCAGGCATTACGCTGATTGACATCAACAGAACAAGGGCGGTTCAACTCAGCCTTGTAAAAACTTTACATAATTAACGAAGCAATGCTTCGAGCTCTATCAATAATATTTCAAATTGAAATAGAACAAATGTTATTATCACATTCGCCCTCAAACTCTTATCATCAAAAGCCTTTTTATGACGTCACTCAAAACTTGACCCCAGTTTCTCACGTCCACAACATACTGTAGCATGTTTCGTGGTAAACAAGATTGTTTTTTATATTCCCAAAAGAACAGAAATAATAGATATATATTGATCTTTAGATTGTTTATGTTACAACTGGGGACACACCCAAGAAATAGGAAGAAAATTGCCACACGTTTGAGTTATTTTTCTGATTTTAGAAATGTTTGTTTCATAAATAGTTGTGAGACGTTTCCTAATCAAAAAATAAAGACCCAAAAAAATGAATTGCTACAAATTTCTTTTTTGATTGTATTTTTATTTGTTGCTGGTATAAACTGACGTCATTTCCTGTCTTGCGCAAAATGTTCAACAGCTTAATCTCACATTTCATTTCACATTTCAATCGGACTCTCTCTGGTTGACAGCACATGGTAATTAGGCCCCGTCCACACGTATCCGGAAATTTTTGTATCCGCAAATTATTCCGGCCCAGCTAGTGGGCTTTCCCTCCCAGTCGCATCCCATTTTGCTTGGGTGGCCGTAGAGGGTCAGAACGCATAACTCCATAAACAAACGCAGATGTAAACAATTGACACTTGTGAAAATTGAACGAGGGAAATGTACAAGCTAGCCGAGCCGGACCAGGAACCGTCCGAAGACAGGTTATAGGGGGGGGGGGGGGTTGATTTAGATTGCCCTTCTGGTCCAGCAAGGCAGTAGATGGCCCTCATGAATAGGTTAACGGTCGACACACGACCAGAATACGAATCTGAGTCGACACAGACCCGATCACGGTTTAGTTGGCCTTACGGTCGACACACGACCGACGACCGAACAATAAATTTGACCGAGCTCAGGGTCGCCACACGACCGAACTGCCGAAACACGGTCGAAACACGACCAGACCACAAGTTTAACTAAAGGCCGACACACGACCAGACCAACGAAACATGTAATACATAACATGTTATACATAACCCTTAAAATCTAACTATGCCGAATCTACTAACGTGCAGGTTTAATAAATACATAACAACTAGTAACCGTAATAACTACGGTGCAGCCATGACAAGCGAGTAAAGCGGTGACTGCTTGAAGATATAAAAATTTGAGCTAAACAGGATAAACAGTAAACACAAAGCTTGACTGAACTACTAGGGAAACTAAACCATGCAAACACACGTGTCGGGACCGCGGACATGAAAATATCAAACACAACGAAAAACTAGAGTCCATGGCAAAGTGAATATGAACTCCGAAACCAAAAATGGGGCTGGACTGAACTACGACCAAACACACATGCACGGCCAAATAAATCTTAAAACGATGCCAAGAATCGAGCGAAGCCCGTAAACATGACGTTAAACAGTCAAATAATTACCTCCACGACTGTTGGTACTGGACGGCAATGTTGTATAGGGAAGCTTCGGTGGCGCGTTGGTACGGAAAAACCAAGAAAAAAATCCGTCTAGCACTGACTGGTACAGCGAACCTGAGGCCGAAACCTAGGATTTTTCGCTTGAATAGGCAAATGCCGAAGGGGGCATTCATAATGCTTCTCACCTAGGAATCACACCCAGAAAGTCATGATAACATTCCGCGTGTACTCGTTTCATGGCTGCTTTGGGGGTGAAAATACTTTCATCAAACTGATTGTAACAAAAAGTTGGTGGTTTGGTTATTGGTTTTATTTTTTTCAGGAAAATAAAATAAAAAAGACACGACAGCCAAGTTAGATGCCATGACATAAGCAACTAATTGCAAATGTTTTGTTAAATGATTCAACCAAGGTGGCTTCGATGACAACCAACAGTTCATAGAGCTTGCGCTTTGATTCATGGAAGCGAATGTTCCATATCTGCAAAACTAATACTTCACCTTTCTCCCCTCCATCATCCAACTTCCATTTACAACAAAACATGTACCAGATTTCTCTCCTGTCCCCATGACCTACTTTCATAATTCAGGACAGCCTTATGGTGAACGGTATTTTTTGCCTATTTCCAACCCTCCTCCGATTTGTATTTCCCTATATGATCACTAAAGCTGAATGTTTGAATGTGATTAGATGGCTTTGTTTGATTAACAAATTGACATCAGATTTTTATGTGTCTGTCCTCTTATTGACAATAAATTGCGTCATCACATTGTCAAAGTGGTGTGGATCCACAAGGCGTAGCCGAGTGGATCCGCATACTACTTTGCCAATGTGATGGCGAAATTTATTGTCAATAAGAGGACAGACACATAAAAATCTGATGTCAATTTGTTTTTTACAATAACAAAAACGATAAAAACTTCTCATTTTTACTGATCAAAACAACCAACGGAAAGAGCGCGCGCTCGATCGTTAACGTCAGCTTTATCTGTCTGTCCTCTTATTGATGATAAAAAATAACCAATCAGCGCGCGAGAAATTTGTAAGTTATTGTAAAAAGAAGTATTGCTGTCGTATGTAACGTCTTTATGGAGTGGGTGGGAAGAGGGTAGGCCCAGTTTCAGCTGAAGTTTACGTTCGTGCCAAGCCTCTCCTTATTCAGAGGATCGCAGGCGCACCGAAAGTACCATACCTGAAAATCGAGCCCAGTGGGGGACAAATCTAATTATGCTTGAAATCTCTTTTTTTTTTTTTTTCATTAGTTTTATACATTCATTATTTTATGTATTCATTCATTCATTGTTCCAATCCTTCATTCATTTATTCATCCATCGTATTCTAATCTTTCAATTCACTCATTTATTATTTCAATACTTCATTCATTCATTCATTCATTCATTCATTCATTCATTCATTCCTGCCAAACCCCCAAAGTGGGGACTTTGGTCTTTTCCCACAAAGTGGGGAGTATTGGAATCCATTCATTAAACATAATAATACGGTATGCAGTGGTTTGGAGGAAGTTAAAGGTAAGCAATTTCGGCAAAAAAACGTTTGATTTCCTTTTTTTTAAAAGTTGCACATTTCAAACTTATCAAAGTGGGGACCTAATATTTCTAATTAGGACGAACTGGTACTGTTAGTACTATGTGGGGACCTCAGTCGTGCTTTTTTGCAGTTATCATTGAAAGTGACTTGGTACTTGAGAAACCAACCAGTATTCGGGGAATTTCAGTTATTTCGGCTTGGCGCGTGGTACTGAAACTCAACCAAGGAATCGTTTTCCTCCGCGCTTTCTCTGTCCACTRTGGAACGAACAAGCCCTCTATTTATTTTAAACGTAAGGCGTAAACGTAACAGAGAGTTTTTAAATAATATTGTGGTCGGAGCCCACAGAATTTGCTGTTGCAGAGACATTATTCAGATTGTTATTCGGTTCTTATGCACTCGAGAATTTGGGTAACCTGATTTTGATGCTTTCAGCAATGCGGGGACCTGGTTTTGTGCACCCGGCAAATTGGGGACCTATTTTTGATGCATTCAGCGATGCGGGGACCTGGTTTTTATTCACTCGTCAATTTGGGAACCTAATTTTGATGCATTACGCAATGTGGGAACCTGGTTTTTATGCACCCGTCAATTTGGGGACNATATGACGAAGTTTAATGGCTAAAAAAAAACAATGTTTGACCTAGTGCCCTTGTTCTGATTTTTATATCTTTTTCAGGAAAATGATGTCACAAGTTTGGCACCAAACCCAAGTTTATCCTATGACCAAAATGACAGTGTCATTCGAAAGAACTTAACAACACAATCTAAAATTTGAACACATTCCACTTTGAACATATTCCGCTTTATATATCAAAAGATTGATATCATCATCTTATTGTCATCCCTTATGCTAGTTTAAAACCTGGTTTTGGGGGTAAAATTATAAGATGTTGTGCCCATTTGGATGAGGCTCTGGTACCTTTTAGGGGTAATTTGCTATGAGTATCCAAATCCTATATACACCTACTGGTATATTACTGGTATACATGCTACTAGTCCACAATACGCAACAAAAATATGCTGTGAATAAATTTACTATGCGAAAAATTCCCAATATATTTTGYAGTCTTAGGAGTGTGGACTGTGCTTCGGCTGTGACCACGATTTTTGAAATATATGTATGTGAAAGAGCCACCACCTGGGACTCTGAGTTTAAAGGCCCTGTTACACGTTGAAACTTTGAGCTGCAACTTGTATGCGACGGAATTGCGAGACAAGTTTCTCAGGGGTAATTCCATCCTGAAACTTGTTTGCGACATAAGTTTCGGTTGCAAAAACTTTCTCCCAACAAAAGTTTCACACAGCTTGGGTGTTGCACGGTACAATTGCTTCTGAAACTTGTCTTGCAACGCTGTTGCTCACAAGTTTCAGCTAAAAGTTTCAATGTGTAACGGGGCCTTAAGCAGTTTCTCTCATTCTATTAGAGCAGGATCACTAACTTATAAAAATAGTACTCCATGATCATTTTTTGAGTATTACACTGTTATTTCTTGTTAATAAATAAATATTAGAGTTCAGTCTCAACTCACTGCTTTGTAATCGTCCAAAAATATCACACTGCGTCCGTTTGTCAATATTGGGACTCTATTTGCAAGTCATCAAACAGTTAAAAGAAAATCTGGTTTGCACACTACAAACTGGGGACTATTGGCAGTGTGGGGTAAAATGGAGACCCAAATTTTAAAAAAAAGCTCAAAAAAATGTTTTCCGGTCACTGCACCTTTTGAATAGATGTTTTAAGAGCTTTTTGGAATCAAAACGACATTTTCTTTGAAAACAATTTTTTCACACTTATTCACTCGACAATTTGGGGACCTGAACTTTAGAAAGTGTGCTTTTCCAGTTAAAAATAGAGTCAATAATTTGCATTGCTTGATTGAAGATGTTTACATTGATAAAAGTCATATTGTGTACTGTAAAGTTAAAAAACTGTGATTTTTGCACTTATTAACATGAAAAGTGGGGACCTACTAGTTTGCACACCAAAAATTGCAATCTGAGGACTTGCTTAAATTTCTTTGGAAAAGTGTTTTCTAGCTAAGATAATCCGTTTCCTGACTTTTTCAAAGTGGGGACCTGATTCAAGTCCCCACTTTGTGAACCATCCCCAGATTGTTGGTGTGCATACACATTGAGGTCCCCAGATTGTTATGTGGGTCCATCCATTCATTCATTCATTCATTCATTCATTCATTCATTCATTCATTCATTCATTCACATAAATCATCTGATCCAAGCTTCCGCATCTCTGTTGAATACAAAGATATCCCAAACGAAACCTTGTTATCAAAGTCCCTAAACTGCAATTGAGTTGTTGTTAGTGCGTGGGGGATTATAGAAATCACCAGAGGGTGTGTATAGACATGAAGATAAGCAAGTCCTTCAATGTCTCGAGTGAAAAATTATCAAGAAAGTTACCACATTCGTTCCCAGGCTTCTGGGAATACAAAAAGCAAACAGCTTTCTTCACGTATAGTTGAGAGTCATAGGTGAAAAGTTATTATACCATGTGCTTTCCAATCTTATATTTGTATTAAAAATTACCATCAACTCGTATGTTGATTTTAGTTTTATAACCAACAATGACTTAGTTTATCAAAAAAACAATCGATGTCAAAAAGATATTTTTCACTTAAATATCAGAGCCACACACGCTTGACGAAATTTAGGTGGGAAATTTAGTTAAAAGAATAAAGAAGTACTTCAATTTAACCGTTCAAAGTTAATTCAGAATCTAAAAGATCCAGGGCTAACGGTGTACATGGACTGTAGTTAGAAATAAAATTGGAATTTCAGTCACAGAACATTTTTTGAAGAATCAAAAGAGAATAAAGGAAGTAAAGTCTTATTAGCGTGTAAATACACCACTTGCCAAAGACCAAATAGTCATCCATAATTAATAACCATATGAAGTCATTGGATTTGTAAACCAGTAGCAGTCGACAATAATTTACGAAAACAAACGTGTTTGCTCTTAAAATATCCTTTTTTCTTCGTCAAAATAAGGAATTCCTAAATGCTCAAAGCTATGTAAACTCGTGCTGTAGTTATGGCAACGGTAAGAAGGATCGTAGGATTGAGATTCGTTTTATTAATGGTGATTTGTACCAGAATCGAAGCGAGAGCTTTGCCAGAAGGAAAAGTGACCCAGTCAGGCGAGCCTTCACATTTTCAAGTCGACGACAAAGCAGCAGAGATAGAAGTCAACGCTAATCCCGCCGGGGTTAAAGTCAATGCTAAACCAGCATCTTTACAAGTGGTAGCCAAACCCGGGGCTCCGGCTATTCCCGTATACYATCCCGCTTTTCATGTTGCTCCCCATTACTTGCCACCACCAATTATCCACAGGGAGCCCGCCATGTATCATCATCATCACCGCCACTGTTTTCCGTACTGTCTTGGGATGAGTAATGGATGGTTTTATTCTGGGCTGAGAAGAAACAAACTTCCTAAACCAAGTAAAAAATACGATTCTGATGGCACGAGAAGAAGTGAGCTGTCAAAAAAAGGCGGTAAACTGTCGCGAAGAAATGGCATTCCACAGATAACAGAGTTGGATGAAGATGACAATAGCATTAGCAGGATACATAAATCTTCCATACCAAGACAACACAAGCACAAGCACAAGGGTAGAAACGCGCGCAAGAGGCAGTTTATTGCTGGAATCCCTCAAATGTATCAGCCGGTGGGCCTAGGGACCCTTGAGGTTCTTGGAGGTCTTGGGGGTTTGGGGAGTCTGGGGACCTCTGGATATGGGGTACAGCCTTATGCTTCCATGCCAAGGACCAGAGCTCCATTGGCTAGGAACCTTATATCATCTTTAGGCGGAGTTCCACGGAACAACGTTCTTGGCTCCTTGGGTATATATGGTGCCAATAGATACAGCTCATTAGCAGGATATGGTCAGCCCCTGGCAAATAATGCACTTGGTTCCCTCGCGTCCCAGATCCCAAGCAATGGACTTGGAATGTATGGCTCTATGAATGGCAACGGACAATTCTCGAATTTTGGACAACAATCATCAAACTATGGACTCGGACAAAGACAGGATGACCCAATCACTAAGTTCCTTCAGGAGGAGATAAACCACGAGCTGTACAGGTCAGCGGCTAGTCCCAGTGCACAAGGGTTGGGTCAGGGTTACAGCAGATCTATTATCAACACTCCCTATGCGCAGTCTTACTCAGGACTTGGAGGCCTTCTACCTAGAAGGGGTATGGGTAGTGTTGGGGGTCTATATGGTAGCGGTGGTGTCCTGGGTTCGTCTGGATTGGGGTACGGTAATGGCGTTACTGACAGGAACCCCGCGTTAATGCAGCTGGCGCAGATGTACGGAGGACAACTATCAGGGATGCAGGGACTAGCACCAGGTGAGTACCCATATTGATTACTAGTTTCGATATTAATATATATCACATTAATAACAAATCATTTCAGCCCAAGGTCCGTTAAAGGAGGCTTTGCTGGTTGGGAAACAAGCGTTAAAATGCTTGTCTTGAGAACAAAATCTGGTCAAAAAGAAAAAAAAGCTTTTAAAAAGCGTTTTTGGTCTTTTCAAATAAGTAAAATCAAGAGAGCATAAATAAGAGAGGAAACTTCTAATTGTGGCGGGCGCCATGTAAATTACAGGTTGGACTAATTTTAGAAACCGGATGCAGTTTAAATTTGGCCTTACCCTATTACCTCAACTACCGCGCGCGCTCACTTTCTGTATGTTCTTTCGATCTCCTTTTAGTTATCAAAACAACAAACGGGAAGAGCGCACGGCTGCGCGTGTAGCTTTTTGTTTAGGAAATTTGAAAAAATACTTCCGTTGTATTTTTAAAATTGCATAATCATTAATGGTAACTTTTATTGCACGAACCTTTATTCAACTGTTTTATTCCATTAATACCCAGGGCTGCAGCAATTCGCTCAACCAAGAACAACGCTACCATGGCTACCATATCCAAACATGGCGGCCGGAAGTAGAAATCCAATGGTCGGTAGATCGAGCGTCCCTGGGTCCAAAAACATTACAAGAAAGAACAAGGATACTTTGAATAATGATGAACAAGTTGAAAGCAAAAAGGATCAGAAAAAGAAGGATGAATTAAAGAAGAAAAAGATGCGAAAAAAGAGGCAGGCCTTGTTCGAGCCAGATGACGAGGGAGGTCTTGACTTGAATCAAGTTTTACAGGAAGCCTTGGTGAATGAGGTCAAACGACAGATGATTCTTGGAGCGCCACCACAACCCGAGGTACAACAGCTAGCAGCTTTAAGAGATGAAACACCACAAGCAATGAGAATACCATTGCCGGGGCTACAGCGACTATACGACGCGGCTCAGGAACAAAATGTAAACCCAATGTTACAACAGCAGATGCCTTTTAGTGCCCTTGGAGCAAATTATATCTCACCGTTTGATAACTACGAGGGACATGAAGCAGGTGCGGCGCATTTAAGCGCAATGGCTCTAGGGAGATCTCAGTTACCCCCAGATCAAATGCGTCTCATGCCAACATTTCCTCAAAGAATGCCATTGATGCCACCACGTGGACCTATTGCAAGATACCAAAGTCCACAACCTCTGGAACCAAATAGACCCAATGTATATGTAGGCGCCCCGATGTCTTTCCGCGCTGATTATACGAGTCCTATACAATATGAAGAAATGCCACCAAGACACAGAAGGAAATATGGCCGACATCCTTTGTTCCGTAGAAGACTACGCCGACCACACCCTCGATATGATGACATATATGATGACGATGATGAGAATGATGCCGATGACTATGATGAAGATCGTGCGATGTACCATGCTGAACATTTGGGGAAAGAGAGAGTGTCCTTGGGGGGTTCTTATTCTGAGAATGAAATCCCCAGAGATCAAGGAGAAACATTAGTGGATACAAATAACCATGGATTTGGACCAATCACGGTCGAGGCTAAAACAGCTGAAGGAGTAAGGCAGTCCCTTGGGGAAGACAGCAGAAGTAACATAGCAAAGCCAGAGAAACCTGAAGAACGTCTAGAAAAGAAGAACTTTACCAGGCATCATCGCCGCCTGCATCCAGTAGCGAGAAAGGGCGTTCTATGAAGAAATACTAGTCGGTCAACTTTTCACGAACGTAGTACGCTTTAAACCAAAATTTGGCTCATGGAAATAGCTGTTAGCTCGTTAGAGGGGAAGGAAAGTATTTTCTAAACATCTGATCTGAGAAATATTGTTTGAATCAAAAACAAATTCAAAACTGAGGTGTCAATTTTCCTCTTACAATTATGGATTTCCTGGCCACCAAATGAAAAAAAAAGGCTGCTAACAAGTGCTTGATAACAATGACATAATAATTTTAAAAAATTTAATATTTTTATTACAATAGCAGGCAAAAAAAGTTTTATTTTTACTGGTCAATTTTCACAGGCTTTATGTGACATCTCAGTTTTGCAGGGACGCTATTTCTCAGTAAGTCACTATTTGAGAACCGCAAGAACACGGCTATAAAATTATATAAAATTACACCGCCAAGATTATTGTCATTGTTTGCGTTGCCCTTTTGCCGTCTTAGGAAGCGCTGATAAACAAATTTAAAGTTCGTAATAATAATGAGTGAATCAGAGAATAAATCAAAAAGAGATCCTTCAATCACATTGGCAAATCTTTGAGGTCAAATTTATGCTTTTGGGCATTGCACTTTATTTTTGTACCTCTCTTCTCTCATAGCCACCCCCTATCCCTCTCCCATCCTATTCCCCACCCTCCCCGTCTTCTTTACTCTACAGGAGGGAGGAAGACTTAAAGGTAGACTAAAGTGGAAATGAGAGTATAGCTTAAATAGTTACATTACTTTTTTATGGGGGAGGGGAGGGTGGCAGGTTTGTAAGGCGGGCAGCACTCTCTTGATGTTTGTATCAATTAATTAATATTAATAAAGATAATAAATAACAAAACAAATATATATCACGTCTATACATGTATTGTGTAAAAACAATGAATAAAGTTCATGCACAGAGGCCTAGTCGCAATGTTAGCCAAAAGATAATGGAATGGCTCACAGATAAGAATGATTTTGTTTAACTCGTCTAAGACGGTCTTCTCTCTTAAGGTGTTCTCTACATAATATTAAATAATTGCAGGTTCTGCTCTTTTTTAGGCCACAAAATAAACAGCGTTATGCATGTGACACTACTTTTGAATTTGATCTTGCGCCATGACGCAACAAGACCAAATATCGCAATGTTCTGTTTCATATTCACCATAATAGTGCAATAGTATCCAGAAGTCTTCACGGCAACACCCACTAGTCCTTTGCGGGCATATCCAAGTGCAGTTAATGTTCTTGTCAGCAGATTTTGCCAAGAAAGATAGGAAAGCGTAGTTCTACTTTTCGCAGATCGATATTGCTTATATGACTTATAATGTCTGATCGAACTTATACAGGCTTATAAGCAATCGACTAGGAATAAAAAAAATTTCACTAAAAAGATTGCCTTATTGTTGAAGAATAAAAATCTAATAAAAAATTGATTAAGAAAAAAAGAAAGAAAGAAAGAAAAATCTTATGTGGATACGATGGGATTCGAACTCATCAAAAAAAAAAAAAAAAAAAAAAAAAAAAAA